GAATTAGTGTTTTACTGTTTATGGGCATAATTTTGTTACTTTTAATCAATTTTATTTCAAAACAGAATTCATTACTTTGTAAGGCCCCCTTCACCTCGAGGCCCTGGGGCAATTTGCATAGAGCTTGAGTGTTTCTGTTGTGTTCTTTCCAAAAACATTCGACATTACAGGACAGCTGTAGGGAAATATTGATTGATACAGTGGCGTAGATAAAGGGGGGTCAAGGGGCAGGGCGACTTACGTGAAGTTATGTACAAAATTTTGAAAAAATAAAAGCTCTTTCTTATAACATTTTGGTCGGAAAATCTAAATTTCTCGCCCCTTTTATGAATTCTCCTATCCACATCATTAGATTGGTATTAACCTTGATTGTCGGAAGATCTTCTTTTAGCGGGTCTATTCGTCGCCTGCCTCTCGCATCTATGATAAAAAAGCCAATTTTCTTTTGAGCAATTTCATCGATATTTACTCCGATAATGGCGAAAACGGGAAGGTAAAAGTTTTGGACACTACCTGACGACCGCCATGTTTCCGGGAGAATTAGAACAAAGCAAAGCGATAAGCCACGATACAGAGCGAAATAGTCACTATTTAAAGAATAAGCCGATGTTGCTCAGCTTATGGAAGACAAAACTTCCAATGTTTCATTGAAGAAAACAATTTTATTTAGGGCAAAAACGGCGGTCAAATATACAACTCATGCGTGCGATCAATCACTCGCATTATTGGTGCCATGCGTGTGCTGATGCGTGCGCGTGCGATCGCACGCATTAAATGACAAAGACTGCAAGTACAGAAAAATGTTTGCCATGTTATGAGTAATTTTCATCAGCTTCAATAATAAATCCTTAGTAGAATCATTGAGGGCTTGGCGCTCATCTGGTTGTAATGACCGTTTTTGTGAGTAAATCCGTGCCCTGAGGTCCCTCGGTTATCAAGCATGACAGCTAGTTTATGTACCTCACTGGTGGGCTATTTTTCATTAAATTAAATGTCTCCAAAAGCTTGATTAAAAGCATAGCGAGGTCTAAAGAGGGGGCTGTAGAGGGATAGCGAAATCTGCAAATTTGCTACTTTTATCGGATAATTGGCAAATCTGCTACTTTCACTAAATCAGCAAGCAAAAATGAAAATCTTGATTGCAACATTTGATGTTCCTCTTAAAATACAAAGGCAAAAATGTATGTTATAGTCTTCTATGTTTGGATTTGTTCACTGAAATAGCATGAAGCCTTGAAAAGGTATAAACTTTTGCACAAATCTCTTCTCCATTTTTGCATCATGAAAATTTCATATTTGCCATTGTTTGTTTTGCCGATGAAAGTAATGATTCCCTTGAGAAATAGTTATAAATATACACCAGGAATAAGTAGACCAGAATAACAGTGAAAATTCATAGAAAAGTTTGTCATATCGAGGAAAATTATGATGAAGGGACCTACAAAAAGGTTTGTATTAAAGAGAGTTCATTATATGCAGGATTCGTTATACCAAGGGAATTTGTACGGGGTTTTGCAGAATCCAAAGGGCCAGACATTTTTTGTTATACAGGAAAATAAGTTATAGCCAGGTTTCATAATATTGAGATTTGACTGTAGATTAGTCCTATGATTATGTCAAAATTTTATTTAATCCGCAATCCCGACAAGGTTTTAAGCCTCTTTGAAGTGGCATGAAGTTATAGTACCAAGGAAGGATAAACAATTAGACTTGACTTATAAACCAACAAATCCAATCATCAAGAATTTTGCTCTCAAAATAAAAGAAGGCGTGTAATATTTTGCTTTCTTCGAAAGGAGATGGCATGCGCCAGGGCATGCGTGTGCCAAAGCCTGATCTGGTGCACTTTCAGAAATTCAGAGGAATGCATCTGTATGAGCAAGTAGATCCTTTGGGTGTAACTGCATCCAAATGAATCACTCCTGAGAAAAGCTACATTCGCTCTGCCCTGCTCAGATAACAATCTGGTATAGTGTAACTCCAATTCTAGGAAGATCATGCTTCTCTGGAAGAACATTTCCAAACAATTCAATGTGTGCTTTAGTTGCAACAGAGCAATAGAGCAGGGAAGAAAAGAAGCAATTATATTGAACTAGCTCTCTGAAAAAATATATCACTTAGCTTGTGCAGACTTGGTGTTACTTAGTCATTTGATATGCCATGTTTAGCCTGTGCCCCAGTCCACAAATGCTGTCTTTGTGTGAAGGGTTTTTTACCCCTTCTGATCCCCTTTATATATGCCACTGTATCAATCCATATTTCCCTACAGTTGTCCAGTAGCATCAAATGTTCTTAGAACATACACAGCAAAAACACTCAAGCAAACAGGCTCTCTGTAAATCGAAAACTTAGCATTTTAGCTTTCGTCATGACAATTAAAATTAGTCCATTCTGAAAATCCTTGGGGATTGGTTAAATGGAATGCACCCTGGCATTTATTATACTTTAAATTTTATTCTAACACTTTATGAGACCCTTCCAATTGTGCCCCTAACTAAACCCTAGACCAATCTTAAATTCCTCCCTCCCAATTCTGAGCTCAACCTCAATAATGGTGACCCCTATGTAATTATTGTTGTGTATTTTGATGTCATTCTTTTATCCATTCTGTTCAACTTTTCTTTCTAGGTTTGATTGTCAGGAATGACATGAGATCTCAATATATTTTAGAGAGCTTATTTTGGAGAGATGTCAGCTGACAGAAAATTTTGTGCCACCATCCACATCAAGCCAAACAACAGGCACTGTTTTGTTGAACTCTCAAACTCTATTGCAAAACAATTCACATCAACAATCTCTGATAAACTGGTAATGCTGCTTTATTCTATTTCTCGTATCTTCATTTTGTGCTTGTGTCATGATACCATGGATGTACCCAAACTCTATCACATAATCATTTGCTGCTTGGTTGCTGCTACAGGAGGGTCACAAGAGATTTGGGGCAATATGTCTGGGGCCAGGGACCTGGCGGGACTTGTAGAGGTGCTATAACATAATTGGTATTTCACTGTTAGATCTCTTTACAGCATATTTTATGACATCTCTCTACTTCAGCTGTGTCTACTCAGCAGGGTATTCATCGTGCAAAGATTTTCAAGCATTTATTCTTAAGATGGACATTTCTGTTGTTTGCAGGTAGTCTTCTGAGCATGGACTATAATTTTCTTGAACATATGAACAAGCCCCCCTAGAAACCTATTTCTTAAAACAAGACCAGACCCAACTGGCTTCCAATTAATACTGTTCAGCTCCATCAGTCGTAACATTCTCCACAGTCCTTGATGGAGCATGACATGAGTTCAAGAATAACGATTCACTTTGGGCAAAGGGTAAAATAATCTACAGAACAAAATTGTTTGACCTTCTTACTAAGAGCATAAAGTCAGGGGCATACCTGCTTATGCCCAATTCCCATCCTTCCTGCTTGAAAAGATGCACCATTTCATATCTTTTGTTGGTTAGTTCAATATTAATTTTGTTATATTAATTTTATATTAATATAGAATTAAGATATATTTATGTTAATTTAATATTAATTTTGCAGCCGCCTATTGTTGGTATTGAAAGTTCTTCTGGAGCCATTGCCTTTGCATCCTGGAGACCTCATAAATCTACTCAAATTTCCCCAGACGACCAAGTGCTGTTTTTAGGAAAAGGATTTGCAGACTGTTTGTCTCTAAAGAGAGATGACTCGGTATCACAGAAGTATTATTTGTCATTTTATTGTTTGATAACATTTTTGTACAAAACTTTTTAATCCTTTGTGCTTCTGTAGTTTATTATTTCATCATTCATACCAATATTTACCATCTTAGAGTATCTTTTATAGATGGCTTTGAAAAGCAAACATTTTAGAATGTACATAAGCTTTTTGTCTGACACTCTTCAGAGTATAAAACATCAGAACATAGATCAAAACACTACGCTAAGAAATATGTATACTCAGTTGTGGATCAAAATAGGCTAATCAGAAACACAAGCACACAACATTTGAGGTTGAATTCTATACCACGAAAATATTGCTATTTTCTTTTATATTGAAAATTGTTAACCCTGATTTCTTAAAGCAAAAGCCGTTTGTTTTCCAGGTTCTTGTTTATTTTGTCACAAATGCTGTTCCTTTGGAAAAGGTCTTCATTGCTCCAATAAAGAACCAAGAATGGGAAATACTTGTATGTTGTATTGGCATCAATATATGTTATATAGCAAATTAATCACTATTTCAGCTGATTTTTCATTCTTTGTTTTTCATAATTTACGTTAGCATCAGACAATAATTTCCTATCAAATTCTATCCACGCAATTTTCAGAATACTTTAAACATTCTAAAGTCAAAAGAATTTAGAAATGTTTTCAATTGACCAAATTTACACAAATTTTTTGGGAAATATAATTGTATAAACATACTCTGGACAGGATCATCCTAGTAATTTTTTTAATCAAGCGCAATTTTATAATATTCAGTCATAATTGGTGACAGCGGTTATCATTAGCAGCCAAAAGGTTTGCATACTTTTGTAAATCCTTCTCATATCTTTATGTTGAAGTCTCTTTAAAAATTAATTTACATCAATAGCTTCTTTAAGGTACCAGACTTGTTTAATTTCTTAACTGCCTTGCTTATATTTTCCAAAGTAACTGCATGTTTTGAGAAAGTTTTTGATTGAAAATTTAGCTAAGAAATTCTTAACTTTGGTTATCAAGATACAAAATACAGAAGTATTTTTTTTCATACAGGAGCTGAATACCCAACTGATAGAGGCAACTCTTCTGGACCAAATAAGAGTTGCCTATTCTGCACTAGAATTTCCTATATTTCTTAAAGGATCAGCTATTGTGAATGCCAAAGTTGGTAAGGCTCTTTATTACAATTCAGTTGTTTCATTCGGGCAAAAGTTTGATCAAGAAATGGAGTAATTGCTAGAATACATTTAAGCTTTAGAAATTGCTTGTCAATAATTTCAGTCATGCTTTTTTGACAAGAGTTGTTAACCTGTCTGTAGTTTTTGCACGTTCTGATTATTTTACATAATTTTTGTCTATTGGTTTTTAAACAGTGTTCAATATCATGTCTCTCGAAACGACTTGTGAGAAGTAGTTATTCAAACGTAACTAAGATTAGGTGAAAACTGTTAACATAGAAGAAGATAAAGCTATTTGTAAAGATTCCCCTTTCATTTTGTTTCAGATATGTAGTCCTACACTTTAAATTTTTCAATGAATATCATGCTTCAAGAACATTATTGTTATGTTGTAAGTAGGAAACAGGCGACCTTAGATTCGATACCATTTAAAAGTCACGGTCTTTCTTTTTAAAATGCAAGTTCCTACTAGTGATTTAGAATCCATTTTAAAGGGCTCTTTTAGAGAAAGTTTTACCTAAATTGTCTGTACAAGTGATTCTTAATGTTGGAAAGTGCTATGTTTTATTCATTGTGCACTTCGCGATGTCATTTCTTTTTTCACAGAATCTGTATATCCTAATGTAAAAGTTGGATATCTAGAAGAATTCACAGAGCTCCATATTGCTCCGGAGCTTACAAAGAAATCTGTTATTTCCAGAGACGAGAGAAAGATATCTAGAAAATTTGATGGTCTATTTAAGAAAAATCTCCAAACAAAGACCACTACCATGTGCGAGAAATCAGATAGTACTCTCTCATCGTTATGGAACTTCATAGTGAAACAAGGTCCAGAAGAGATAAAAGAATTTAATGAAAACACTATTCATGCAAATACACATTCAAGACCCACAGCTTCCTTTTGCACTGGGCAGGAAATAATTAACGAAACAAAGCACATTAGCGAAGTTTTAAGAATTCATCCTGTTGTTCCTAGGAAAAACGACACGCAAAGTAGAAGTTTATTTACCCTCAACTACCATCCTTTTCGTTGTTTTGTAAGTTTGAGCACCTTCAAGTCAATCAAACGTCAGTGCACCTGTGTATTTAGACAGAAGACTGACAAACTGATAATGAAAATAAAAAAAATTCCATCTCCAAGACAAAAAGATGAATGGAGAAAGATCAAAGCAAGAAATGCAGATAATTCATCGGTCGCAGAGAATGAAAAGTGTAAGAATCTTATGAATTTACGTATATTTTGGTTAAAACTTTGCTAAATTAGGCATAAATTTAGACACAGCAATTTAAAAGAATTTCAAGGGATTAAAAGCTGTTCAATCTGAAATTATCAACAGGTGATATTGAAAAAAATATGCAAGCCATGACAATAAGATATTTTTAAGAAAACGATTTATCTTAGAAATTATTGCATTTCCTAAAATATGGTTATCTTGACCCGAGACAGGCAGACAGAGGTCAGTTATAAATTTATAAATTTCATGACATCTATAGCTACATTTTAGGGCACTTTAAACTGTGTCTTAAATGGTATATATAAAGTTTTTGGAAAGCATTTACATCTTCATCTATTAATAAGTAATTACTATACTCATGACGAGAAATCTGAAGTCCATGCTATCATTCTGCCTTTGTCAACTGTCGAGAAAAAATACAAATCTCTTTCGTCACTTGTACATTTTTACAGTAGATAGAAAGTTAAATCAAAGTTAAAATGCCTTGAATTATTTTAGTACTTTCCGTTACAGCCGCTATTATTGAAATCGTTCCTGTAAACGACGACCAGTTTCCTGAACAACTTCAAATGAAAAATATGGCTGTTAGCTTGGAGGTTATGGCATTCTTGAATGCAGACCAAGGGTCACTGACAGAGATTGAATGCTTGCACAAAGATGCATCTAGTATGTTGGGAATTATCATCAATGTTCTCAGCAAAAAGGTATATATGCCTACAAGCGTTTACTGTTAGAAGAGATCTTCTTATATTTAGGCATGCTGTGGTGTATAGTGCATGCTATGGTGTATAGTTCAGGGTGGCCCGCGATTTAACATTGTGGTCCATGCTAAGTGCCATCACTGGTAACTGTCTGCACAGGTATTGACAGGAAATTTTGGGTCTTTAGGGACTTGAAGGGGCAGATACCATATCTGGTTTCGGAATAGTTGCGACATTTTTAATAATTTTTACTCAAAATATGCAATATTCTTGTCCGGTTAGAAACGTCACTAAAGCTGAAACCTAAAGTCGAATCATCTACAAATATACTGTTGGACATACTGTTGGTTTGCCTAAACAATGTTTTGCTGTACCAAAACAAAATACCCCGCTAAACCTGCTTAGTTTCTCTGTACACTTGTGACAATTAGTTAGCATGGGGATAGTGTCCCTTATCTAACTTAGTAACTTCTGCCAACGCCTCCAGATTCAAACCTTCAAGGAAGCCAAAAATTTTTCGAGTTATCAAAGACACGAATAATAAAAAAATCGACCTTGCAGTAGTAACTTTGGAAGAAATAAGGGCATTCTAACAGTTAGACTTTCATTGTACAAAGAGTTTTGTTGCTTAATACCTTGAATGTATCATTATAGAGTTTTCACTGTCTGTGGTGCCTTTTTCGCACCTGTTTGTTTCAACAGCCAGCTTCTGAAGTGGACTTTTTGCTTGTTTCGTTCTAATCTCGTAATGTCTCGTAATGAATTTTCTCTCGAAGGTCAAGATCGTTCAGAACTTCTTTGGCTGTGTTGAATATGATTTATTTTATCTTGCTCAAGGTACCAGGCCTGGACACTGAAAAGGTTACTGAAATATTCCGAGGTTGGGCAGAACGAAAGATTCAGTCACATCAAGACCAAATTTTATTGAACGATTCAACTATATTGGAAATTAACAAACTGGAAGGTAATGCTTTCGTATCCAGTATCACGTATTGTGAAGGTCTACAATGAGCATTTGTGTGCACTTGAGAGATTTTTTGCTCTTGTGTGTTTACTGCTAGAAATATAATGGTAATTCAGACTCTTTCACAGCTCAGTGACTGACTTTGATTGATTGATTGATTGATTCACTTTTTGGTTACCATCTATCTCTAACATAAATTTAATAAAATCTGCAAAGATGCACATCAAGCTAATAAAATTGATAGTATTCTTTGACTTTAAACTCATCTGCTAGTCGGATCATTTAATCAGTCATTTTCTGATCAATAACCATAAAATTGATTGATTGATTGATTGATTGATTGATTGATTGATTGATTGATTGATTGATTGATTGATTGATTGATTGATTGATTGATTGATTGATTGATTGATTGATTGATTGATTGATGAGGTTGGCTGCTTAATGACAGGTTTATTTCAATGACCAATCAGATTTTGTTTGTTTATGTTTATTGACCAATCAGATAAGTTTTCATACCCCGAGACAGAACATCTTTCAACCTATCAGTATGGCAGGCTTGGTACATAATTTTTGTCTGTCCCGGACTTTCTTAGGCTGCCCGTTGAGTTGGTTTTATTTGTTTCTACATCACTCGATATTTTCCGTGCTTTGTTCACAAACTGTACTTTTGAGTTTGCTTTTTATTATATCTTCAACTTTGAAGACGGATAACTTAAAGTTAGATAGGGAATTTTGTACAGGATTATACAATATCACGAGAAATAGCAGCCTAAATCATCGGCAAAAATATGATTTCCTCTTCTTCACATGAATCTTTTTGAGTGAGTTTTTTATGCTTGTCCTAAATTTGTGGTATGAGAAGTTAAATACAAAATCATCTTTATATCATAAAACAGGTGAAAAAGGTATAAAAATAAGATATTAGACTAAACCTGATGGAAATCTCAAAATTTTCTCACGCTCTTTTTCCTAGAACCGGCTGTAGTGGTTTCCCTTGACTTTTTGACCGCGAAAGAGAACGAGTCGTCAGAACACAGTTATTTCTTTCTCAACGGAGATAGTTTGACCGCAACATCGTTGGTTGCAAATTTCCGTACGAAAGAAGAAGCTAAAAAGCTGGCAAATTACCAGAATCGTGATAGAATTTTGGAAAACTTCAAGCTTTTCAAAGAGGATCAGTTAGGGTAAGTCCCCAATGTTTAGTTGAATTGCATCATTTCGAATCATATTTTAATCTCGAAATGACGTATAGGGGATTTAACTAACAATTTTGTAACCGTTTTCACTTTTTACGAAAAACAATTAAACTAACCAAAAAATCTGTCCAAGTTAATGATAAATATAAATCTAGTGATAAAGTCTGTCCTTGTTGATAACTGATATGAACTATATTTAGGTAACTTGGTACCTTTATTGAGTTTAAATATTTTGTTTAAAACAACACACATACACGATTATAGATCGTTCTTAGATTTTTCGCTGTCCCTCGGCAACATAACACACTGGATCTCATATGAATTGGCTGAATTCTACGTTTTATTATTCTTTGCTCTATACCTTATTCCCTTCAGTAAGCATACTTGTTTACTTTTAGTAAAGTCTGCGATTATCTTATATATATCTGTACATATATTCATACATTTATCACATTAATTCATTGCCGTTATTTATGTTAACTGCAAAGTGAAATTTCTTGATTTTAGATCAAATTAAATTTCCGTTTCACCTATTGGCAACTAGATTTTCTTTCTTTAACTCTAATTTTTTTCTATTTTTGTTGAGTTATTAGCAAAAGCATGAACTGAAAACTTTTTACATATTGTTTTATATTTTAGGGGATTTTCTGATTTGATAGCCAGAGGAATTGCGTATCTCAATAGCATATTGAAGCCTGCACATA